TGCCGAACAACTACGCACAGTTTTCCAACCTAATTCATCCCAACTACCAGCAGCTGAAGAGGAAATTAACAAACAGCATGAGACTCCGTTTCAGATGGCCTTCACAATAAATAAAACCACTCAAAGGGAAGTAGAAACTGTCATACTCCACGGCATTAGTTTAAAAAAGGCACCGGGATTTGACCTCATCACCGGCAAAATAGTAAAAGAATTGTCCGACAAAGGATTCAAAGTACTAACATACATCTTCAATGCAATTTTACGACTCGAATACTTCCCCTGTCAATGGAAAGTCGCGCAAATAGTCATGATTTTGAAAACAGGAAAACATCCAAACGATGTTGCATCGTATAGACCCATCAGTCTCCTGCCGATTCTCTCCAAAGTTTTGGAAAAAATACTGCTCAAACGGTTAGTACCTGAAATCGACGATCATCAGCTCATACCTACACATCAATTTGGCTTCAGAAAAGGTCACGGAACGATCGAACAAATACATCGATTAGTAAACCAAATCCATAGTGATTTTGAAAACAGGCGCTACTGCTCAGCTGTATGTGTTGATATAAGCCAAGCCTTCGATAAAGTTTGGTACATAGGCTTATTATACAAACTTAAGTGCGTTCTTCCACATCCAGTGTATTCTCTATTAAAGTCTTATCTTACCGACAGAACTTTTTTAGTTAAATACGACGAAGCCTACACCGAATTATACCCTGTCTTATCCGGCGTTCCACAGGGAAGTATCCTTGGGCATATGCTATACTCCATATATACGGCTGACTTGCCAGAAACCGGACAATCAATGCTTGCCACCTATGCCGGCGACACAACAATACTAGCGTCTCATGAGAACCTTATTGAAGCATCCCGGATACTGCAAACGCACTTAGACCAATTCGGAGAATGGCTACAGCGGTGGAGAATTAAGGCCAACGAAATTAAATCCATGCACATCACCTTCGCTTTGAGGCACGGAACCTGACCTCCGGTACTATTAAATGAAACATGCATACCACAGGAGGAGTCAATCAAACGCTTAGGCCTTCACCTGGACAGGCGGTTGACCTGGCGCACACATATTCTCGCCAAAAGAAAACAACTGGACATCAAATTTAGTCAGATGCATTGGCCAATTGGCAGGAAGTCAGAACTGTCTACCGAAAGTAAACTCCTAGTATACAAGACAATACTGAAGCCTATTTGGACTTACGGCGCACCATTATGGGGAACTGCAAGTACATTCAACAGAGAAATGTTACAGAGCTTTCAAAACAAAGTACTTCGAGCCATAGTCAATGCACCGTGGTACGTCCCAAACAGACTACTACCTGCCGATCTAGGCATACACACAATAAGGGCAGAAACCACAAACATCAGCCGCAAATACAAAGACAAGATAACAGTACATCCAAATGAACTGGCAACCACACTACTAAACGACGCAGACGAGCCCAGAAGACTCAAAAGGCATAAGCCAACTGACCTAACGACGCGCTTCACATAAATGCAATACATACTGTAATAAAGTTATATTCGAAATAGATTCCTAGAGAATGCTCACTGGAGCATTACTCTCCCTGACATGTTCTTTTATTAGTATGTAAGCCTTAGATTAAGTATTTCAGTCCTTAATATAGACCGATTGTACAAATAAACGGATATATATAAAGAAAAACGTGCTGGTGGATTAAGCTGCTGTAAACACAACTCAAGGACATGTAGAAGCAAAATGGGCCTATGAGTTTCCTTCAAAATCTGAATTATGTCTTCTTCTTCTTCTTCTCAGCCTTTGCGAACTCATGAACCTCATGAAGATGCTAGACACTTCACAAGTTAGTCTTATGTTTTCAATATAGAGTGATGAAAATTATCTCGTTTGTGTTTTAACCAAAACTTAAATATATTCAGCATTTTGAGAGTGCATGAAAGGAACATCAAGTTTCTGTAATGAACGGGGAAGTCTGACATGAAGCTGGAGGCAGATACCGTACTGCACAGTGTCATAAACTAAGTGCCACCATCTTCAGGGCATATTTCTACCCTGAAGATAGAGGTAGCATATTTCTCCGAAACGTAAATAGCCACTTATTTTCATTAAGGAAGTGCCCAGTTCAAATCTCCGCTGGGTTATCGCCTATCGTGATGTTCCTCAGTGTATCTAGACGAATGCCGGCAAGGAAACCTTGACTATGTCACCCGCCGTTTTCTTCCACAACCTTGCTACTCCGTTCTCATTATCATTCGAACATGACGCCGTATAGTCTACTAACAGAGTCATTCGTATTTATACATACCCGTAACTCATATACCATCTAAGCACATTGTTTACAATGACTCTAGTTGCCATTGGAAACCATTTAGACTAACTCATTGGCCAAACGTTTTAACGTATTTTGTTAAAATAAGCCGTGTTTCATGGCTCAACTCTGTCAAATAGAAACTTCTGATAGAAATGGATTTACGCGTCCTATATTAACGAATGTTTTATTTTTCTAGGAAGTTAGGATTATTCTTCAAGTTAAGTGATTGAATACGGTTTGAACGACCGGGCTTCGAGTCCCAGCGAACTTAATTTTGTAGGTTATTTCATGACGGCGTAGGGCCTATTACAAACAACGACTATGTATCATTGAGTTATATGCAGAATTGTGATTATTAATGGCGGAATTATTGGAAGAATCGTGCCCCCCCTCCAACAGTAACAACTGAAGAGGAACATATAATACTTAAGTATCTTATCTTTTTTAGAACATATATTTTTCGTAAATCTTGTAGTTCTGACATATGCCAAAATGAAAATTAATAGTTATTTGAGTGAAGCTTACATATAAGTTGGATTTTATATTGCAGTCTTTGCTACTCTTAAATAAGAAAGGTAAGGTAGATTCGTGGATTTTCGTTGTATCTAGTTACAGTTTGAAAGATAGCTGTATGGAAGAATCCGAAAGTTCGAAACGTCATGAAGTTTTAGAGGGTTTAGACTTCATTGCTAGGTCTGAAGATAATGCAATTGAAAGTACAAAACAAATATTTGAAAAAAAATGAAATTATTATATATAAACAAATTGAAATTGGTTGTGTCATTGTAGTTGGTTGAGGCACCATGCTACAAGCCGGAAGGCCGCGGGATCCAATCCCGATGAGGTGGATTTTTCAATTTACCTAATCCTTCCAGCCGCACTGTGGCCCTGTGGTCGACTCAGCCTCTAACAGAAATGAGTACCAGGAATATTCTTGTGGGTAAAGGGCGGCCGGCGCGCAGGGCTGTCAACCTTGCCACCCTCTAGGAGCCAATTGTCTAGAAAATGTGGGAAACTCAACATGTCACAACCCTATGGGCCTTCACGGCCTGTTACAGGGATACCTTTACTTTACTTACTAGGATAATAACAATAGATTGGATCTTGCAGAGGAGAAAATTAAAATTTGATGAATTTGCTCACCGCCGTTGGTTTTGTTTGTGGTTAAAAACGTTTCGATTGGAACTTCCGAAGCCAAGTTTCCATGACTCGCCGAAATAAAAAAAAAAAAATCACGTTTAAAGGCACTATCTCGCATTAACCTATGTACTTTGACAAAACGTATATTAAAGTATCTGGTAAATTATTATTAACAGATATGAATATCTTAAAATTTATTATAATAAAGAGAGTATAATTTAGAAATTATACAGTCAGAAAATAAATAAGGATTCTTGAAGTAAATATGAGCTGGACAGATAGGGTGATTCTAAATTATTGTCATGGTTTCCATTTATAGGTCACGGAAATCCCGACAATAATTTGGAATCACGTATTTGGATATGTTACAGCCATGAATATGCATAAAGTATTGTTGTCTTCTGAGTTATGCCACCGTGTAAAGGAAACTCCTGCAGGGGATCTGTAGTTGCAATCGAAATACTACTAAGACGGAGGAAAACCCGTATCGAGATTGCCAAATGATTTACAGTGTAAATAACAGAGGATGATATTGATTCAGAAGTGAGGTTAAGGATCAGGTGTTGCAGATATGTGTGGAGGCTTCAGGTATGTGCTAGTGAAAACAAAGCCAGGACGAGATGGGTCAACTTCTTGTCAACATGTTACTGGGGAGTTGTGATTATTTACTTGCTTTTATTTTAAATTAATTATTAAAAAGTTTAGAATTGTCTTCATCAATAACTTTAATAACAATAAATAACAAGAAGTCATTAACAATGTATACAGGTAAAGCATACGTACATCTCAAAGAAGTCTTGCGAGAAGGAGAGTCAGGTTAACAATATACGGAGATGTATTTGGCAACTTGGGAAGAGAAATTCAGAAGAGGTTACGTCAACATGAGTGTTCAGTTTTCATGTAGATCTTGTTTATGGATAATGCATCCATCAAATTTTTGTATATATCTTGACGAATTAGACATTAAGGATCCAGGAAGTGTCACTTCGTTTCTTGTAAACGATTTAGAGACTAAAAATTTGTTAAACGTTTGAAATGCGGCGTCTGTACTGTGCCCATCACCCAGTATTGAGTATCCTCGTTATAATTTATGACATTGCGAAGAATGTTGTAATAATTATACTGAGGACTAAGGAATAATCCATCTTTTTAAGATTCAGATGTATAATTAACAGAGGAATCAGAAATATGTTCAAGATGTTTGACAGCGTTATGTTCAGCACGCTATATTACATAACAGTCAAGATGAATAATTCTGAAAAACCATTAAACTGAGGTTTAGTTAACGCATATAATGCAAGCATTCTTTAAAAGAAACATATACATGTTCAGTTGATTAGAACAGAACATCAATTCTCACAGAGGGGAATTTTCATTAATTCCAAATTCAGTTGAATCTAGCGATTTAATTTTCTTTAACCAGCGCACCTCAGGTACTTATTTTAAAACTTATCTATTAACAATTCAAGAGGTTGTTCATTCCCCCACTATTGTCCTTAGCAATTTGAAAAATCGCAGTTGTGAATGTTGTCAGGTTTCCTTCTCAGGTGGCTGGAATCAGTGGTATTCTCCGTGGAAATCTCCCTCACCTGACGTGTAGTGAGCACTGTGGTGTTCTCCACCTCCGTGATGGCCTCCTTCCCCAGATGTGTAATGCTCTTCGTGGTGTTCCCCAGACCCACCGTCGTGACCCCCGTAGTGGAATTCTCCGCCTGTCAGTGCCGATGTGAACTTGCCGTCTCCCTCTGTGCCAGCACTCTCGTGGTCCTTCCTCTCCGAGCCGGCCCCTTCATGTTCCTCTTCATCGTCGCCAGAGGCTCCGGAGTGGGCGCCCTCGTAGTGACCCCCTCCACTGTGCCCATCCTTGTAGTTGCCACTATGGTGGAACTGGCCTCCAGTCTCACCTCCTTGGGCCTTTCCGTAGGAAGAATGCGTTTCGAACCCATAAGCATCTCCATCCTTCTTGTGGTAGCTGTCAAATCGTTGATAGCCGTCATCTCCTTTGCTGTCCTTGGTGAGCAAGTAACCGACGTCACCATGGCCACCTCCTCCGGAACCGTGATGGCCACCAGTGCCGGCAGCTTGAAGATCAAAGCCTGGGGGAGGAAGGGCTCGCACTTCACGTACAGTGGATTCTACCAGAAGATTGTCTCCTTCGTCGTCTTCATCTATCGGATAGGGACACGACATGCCTGCAAGAAGCAGGAGGCCGAAGACTTTCCAGCTCACAGATGAGCCTGCCATGTTCAGTGGCTTCTGTCAAGGAAATAAATGGGCATAAGAATGTGACATAGGCTATTTTTAAGAAATCTTATGGGTACATGTGAATGGATCAAAACAAGCTTGCGCCACAGCATACACAGGAAACGGTACTTTCTGCCTGAGTAGGTAATTGCTAAATGTCATTCTAAAAACATTGTCTCCTACTAAAATCTTTCGAACAGCTTAACGAGAGCCGAAAGCCTGCCGATGTTTCTTTATCGCGTAATAGAACGATTGTGTCTTGGTGTCTCCACCTTATCGTGGTGAGGGGGTTTGAGTATGCCAAGGACCCTGAGAGCTATACCAGCGGTAGCGTAGCTACTGGCAGAGCCTCCCCTGCTGGACAGATCAAAGGGTAGGCATCAGACGAAGAGAGACACCAAAAACCAAAAACTGATGCCGGAAGCAGCGTCATCAGCAGCGACTTGAAGCACAGAGCAAATGATGCTCGAGATGGTTCAAGTTCGTATAGCAACAGGCGTGACCAGAGTGGTTTGAACGGCTGTTGTACTGCGATGTGGAAAGCAAATGGAAAAACTACCACATTATCACTTTTCCTGGATAGTCTCTTTCCAAAAACAGAAGATCTCATTAAGTGGAGAAACTGTTTTGGAAGAGACTGTGGACCTGTCGTCTGACAGATTACTGATGATGATGAGAACGATTGTATCCATGCGACGCGCTTGGCGTGTCGGATTCAGAGTCGAGTAAATTTTATATGCAGACAGATAGCAAAGTTTCCCCTGGCCTTAATTAAGTAAAATGTCATAAAGACTCATGCGGGTGGAGGTATAGCTCCCCTCATTCTAACCTCGTCGGTAGGTGGGAGGGGTCAGATTAAACTCCCGGCCGATTTGCTCTCGGGAAAAACTCTTGTAACCATAGTATAGGAAGCCGGGTGGGCCTCAGAGACCATCGGGATGCTGCGGTGATGTAACGATAGCGACTCAGCTAACCTGGCTTCTAGTGACATGTATATGAGAGAAAGATGGGATACGAGAAATGACGTAAACAAGGATACACCTGTAGAACCTAGCAGTTGTTGCCGTCCTTCGCAGGGTTCCGAAGGATTATGAGGTGCGAGTTTTCGAATGACTCCTACTTTTGCTACCAAAACATTTCTTAAAGCCGCGCCATAGCTCAAGCGGTTAGTCGCTGGCTTTCCACCGTGGCGGCCCAGGTTCGATCCCGGGGTCTGGTCAAGTGGAATTTATGGTGGACAAAATGGCACTGGGACCGGTTTTCTCTGAGTACTTTGGTTTCCCCTGCCAATCTTCATTCCACCAAATTCTCCATCATCATAATCACCCAGGGAAGGTTACAATAGGCCAATCAGTGGCCGCCGTGCCAAGTGGACCCAGTCGGACACCGCAATAAGCGAATAAAAAAACATTTTTTTTTTATAAAATATCACCATTCAAATATCAGAGTCAAGTGTATTAATTCTTCACTTTCACTCTGGCATTAAAATTGTTGGCACCATCGTTATGTTTTTATTTTCCATTTTCGTAAGAAACATCATTTTAAAAATACGCATTTTTATAGATTGATCACCATACAGAATTTCAGGCTCTAATACTGCTCCCACCTAACATGTTCGCATGGTGGCCATGTTGATACTGTTAATGACAGAAACGTGAATAATATGTCCAATAAGATGAATACTTGTTCGGAGTTTAATATCAGTCGGAAATTTAGTGTCTGTAATCATATTGATAGTTAAATCACAACTAGAAGATGTAGAGAATGATTTAAGAGACCTCAACTTTAGAGACGGAGGTAAGTGATAAAAAAGAAACTTTCAAGAGACAAAGACACTCGGAATATAAAAAACTGAGTTAATTATCTTGATACAAATAATGGGAGCAGAAACGTTTAGAAAGTTGTATACAAGCATTATTAAATATAAGGAGAGTTATCAACCTAAAACTAAGTCGATAAAAGATGGGAATGATAACCTTCTTGCAGATCCCTGAAGCATTATGTAAATACAGTAAACCCTCGTTAATCCGGATGCTGGATAATCCAGACAGAATTATGAAAAATTAAAAATTCTGTTCACAGTTTAATACATACTGTGAAATAGTACATATGATATTTAGGAACAAGAGTGATTAGGGCAAGAGGATTTTTCGGGCTGTGTTGAGATGAGCTTGAGAGACTCTCTCGTAAATCATTTCTCTTTCTTCCAGCCTCCACACCTTCACCCTTCCTGTTTTTCTTCCAACTTCTGGCTTACCTTCGAACATTTTCTTACCTGCACTTGTTTCATCCTTTCAATTTACGTAACCCAAAAACACTCAAACCTTCTCCTTTTTCTATCCACTCCATGTCGGGAATTTGTATAATTTTGTTAGTTCTTGATTAGATCTGATTCTTTATGCCTCTGTCTCAGTCATCGGTGCGAATTTTTTTCCCCTTGGCACTACAGCCCCAGTGGGCCTAGGCCTACCTCCATGAACTTCTCAGTTCACTTCGGTTTTTCTAGATCTTACACATTCGATGGGACTCCTTGGGCGGGTGATCAGCTCGTCGCAAGGCCTCTACCTGTACACAAACACAGAAAAACGCACACACACACAATAAACATCTATGTCCTGAGTGGGATTCGAACCCACGATCCCGGTTTCCAAGCGAGCGAAGACAGTACATGCCTCAGACCGCTCGGCTACCGTGACCAGCCATCGGTACGAATATTTTCTTAAAAAATGTATTCTCCGATGTATTTAGAACGGGCTTATACTTCTCAGTCTTGGGTCGTGTTTCGGATCCTAACACAGACTACAGTTCCGTAATACAAAATGCATCAATTAAAAGACAACTGAAACACCAATCACGTACTCTGGCATAGTGGTCAAATGAGAAACTGTTTTCTCTGTGGACTCTTCCAGGTGTCCTCGTGTGATTCGAGTTAATGTGAACCTGGCTGCTAGGCTGCTACTCTCACCAGTTGCTCAGAAGCTATGAAGATGCCAGGAAGTTTTTGATTAACGAGAAGAACACTTAGTTCATTCTTGACTGTTATTACTCATTAAATCCAGTTTTATCTCATTTGTGTAGGATTTTGATATGCTTAACCTGACAAGGCAGTACCGAATAAGACAACAATATCACCTAGAAAGGTAACGGTAAAGTTGTCCCTGTGCTTAACTAGTTAAGCACCACGCAATGAAGGCTTATGGGGGAGTGGATGTATAGATCCATATTTTTTTTACCTCAGCTCTAGATGGAGGTCAGTGGTCAGCCTCACACCCCGGCCGCTTTACCCTGTGGGAAAGAGCCCCCCGGTACCCATTGTGTAGGAGGTTGGGTGAACCCCAGAGCCAGTCTGGAAAACGTGGAGGAGTGAAAATTCTTGATACTACGGGGATTCGAACTCCGACCCCTCGGTCGTCCAGCCCGCAGTTAGTCGCTATACCGACTACGCTACCCCGGCTCGCATTTATATCACCTATAAGCTTGAATATATTCTTGTACCTTGGGTTGCGTTTTAAATGGCACACCCTGTATTAGTTTCACATTCTAAGTACGTTTATACATATACATGAGATTTACGATCCGGCACTTATACACACATTTGATAAATGAATATATCCACTAATTCTGAAAGAGCATAGACTGTATGAATTTTATAGGATGTAATGAAGAAGCTATAAATCTTAATTCTCCTATCTCCCGGATCAGAAATGTGAACGATTAGACATGCATCATTCTGGTTATGATTAATGAAGATAAATTGCAGGAATGTGGGGGTGTGAAATACAGAAACTGTGAGTACCAGCACAGCAACAAAATGTACTAATGGATCTAGCGTCGTAATTGACTGTCTTGGTATCAGCACGCAATCCAAGCAAATCTGACATGTCACGGTGGTTTTATTATTCAGCTTCACTGAGGATGAATGAACATTTATTGGAATGCTTAGTGCCAGAATAAAGTTGTGAAATGAAGACTAATGCTGTTCCTAGGATAATCTCTGAATTACGTTTACTGTATGAAAGGGTAAAGTTATCCCTGTGCTTAACTAATTAAGCACTACACCACGGAGGCGTGTAGGGAGGGGATGTACAGATCTACGTATTCTTGACTACGGCACCAGTTGGAGGAGAGTGGTCAACTTCACGTCCCGGCCGCTTTAATCCCCGAAGAAAGAGCCCTAATTACCCATAGGATAGGAGTCTGAGTGGGCCCCAGAAAGGGTATTGACAACATGGAGAAGAGAAAAAATCTCACTCATACTGGGACTTGAAATCCGAGCCCTCGGCCGTCCAGCACGTAGCCAGTCGCTATACTGACTGCGCTAACCCAGCTTCTGCACTTACTATATATACACTTTTTCTTTTCTATTTTTGATTTTTACTTCATTTAATTTTTTTTAGATGGATGTTTAGCCCGTTCGGGGCCCAGGACTTTTAATCAGTTCCGTAATCTTTTTTTACAGGAGATAGGACCCCTTGGACGGGTGATCAGCCCTTCGCAAGTCCGCTACCTAAACACAGAACAACACAGAATAAACGCATACACACACCAAAAATCAATGTCCTGAGTGGGATTCGAACCCACGATCCCAGTGTCCGAGCGAGCGAAGACAGTTCATGCCTCTTTTTTTTTAATGCTAGTGGGGTGGGACTAAGTCACTTGTACTGCGGCCACTTCTGGCCTATTGTACCAGCCCTAGATGACAGGTGAGGGTGATTGTGGAGCAATTGGTGTAATGAAGATTGGCAGGGGAAACCGAAGTACTCGGAGAAAACCTGCCCCAGCGCCACTTTGTCCGCCACAAATCCCACGTGACCAGACCCGGGCCGCCGCCGTGGAAAGCCAGCGACTAACCGCTTGAGCTGTGGCGCGGCCTCTAGTTCATGCCTTAGACAGCGCGGCCAATGTGACCGGCGGACATTTAGTTTATACCGAGAGAGTTCATATAGCTTTTGACTCATATTCGGAGGACGCTCAGTTCGAATCTCGATCAGGACATCGGT